TGCCGAAGCGGCCCCTTAAGAAGAGGGCAACTACGATGGCCTTCCATTCTTTCGAATGGACAGTCATCAATTTTTTTGGCCACGTTATCCCTCACATTTTTTCTCTATGTCATCTTGCCGGGATTGACTGGGAAGAGACGGCGAACAATCGTTTTAATTATTATTTGTCAAGTCTGCGTTTAAATGAATTTTTGCATACTCAGTCATATAAGAATCACCAGCTCAGTAAATTTAACGAGGTCGATGTTAATTTCATATGAAATGTTTTTCAATGTAAATTTAACGACCATTAATGTTATTGACTTGTAGTAACTTATTCGCTGTCTAGTCCCAATCTTCCTAGTTTTTTTTTTATTGTTGTTCTGTCTCGCCTGTTCTCTTGTGCCCCTTTCCAGGTTTAGGTGGATCATTCAACAGAATCCATTTTTTTTTACGTCATCATGGAGGTGTCATGCGTCATGAAATCATCAGGTAATTCATTGCCGAAGAGCTTGACTGACTTGTTGGTAATTAATGTTAAAATGATAATTAATTAATTTTATGAATATTTCTTACAGTGCACCCTACAAACATCGATTTGCATCCAGAAGCACACCTTAATAGTTCAACGTATGAACTTTTGTTCATCATCGGACGTGTTTTTTAATTTGCACATTTACACAACGTTTACAGATATATTGGACAATAGTTTGCGGTGACGGGTGACTTGCTGCCACCAATATGCAGATTTTTTCCAGGTCCTCTTCCTGTTCGGGTCCTCGAAGTCCACGTGAACAATGCCGAAGCGTTCACTGTAACATAATAAAATACAATGCTTCATTTGCATATATGTATCATTGCGTATGTGTATCTTGTAGGTATAACAATATCTAAATTATTAATTTTTATATTTACCTGTAGCCTCTCTCCCACTCAAAATTATCCAAGATTGACCACAGATAGTATCTCTTAACATTCACGTGATGATCATTTATTGCCAGCAGCATGCTTTTAATGTAATCATGGAAAAACTGAATTCTATCAGGATCATTGGTGTCACCCAAATCCGACATTCCATTTTCCGTAATATATATAAGCGGATTTTTGTAATCACGTGAGATCCTGATAAGACTGTCACCTAAACTTTGCGGCACTTGCTGTAATAAAATTTCGAAACATTTTAATTATTAACAAAACGGATCTAACAATAAGAGTTCCGCAAATGTTGCATATTCTTTCTTACTGTACAAGATGGTCGCTTTTATTTATTCTAGATCCATTTTTTAATAACTTTTCCTTCATGCCCCACGTTTCCAAAGCTTTTGTTTGAAAGCTCTTGACTTTTTTGTTTGACTACTCGGGGTATACCAATATATAAAGTATATAATATAATATAAAATACAATATATAATATAAAATACCAATATAAAAAGAATTCATTTCTTCGATGTAAACCTTCAGTTATAATTAATTTTGGATCGATGGATGTTATAAAGTCAAATTTGAATATTTTCCTCTTCATGTTCCCCTCAAGAGTCAAAATTCGTCGGTGTCAGGAAGCTTTCCAAATTATTTCAATGATTCGAGGTAAAATTTAATTTTGTTTTTCGATGTAAACCTTCAGTTACAGGGTATGTAAACATGTATATAAATTTCCGACGATTTTTATCAGTGTATATAATTTACTCACATAAAGCCAATTGGAGGCAGTAGGCTTCCAGGACGGATCGAAACTTTCAGTAACTCCTTGATCTCGATAATATGATGGATCAGGACCAGTTGTACCAAATTCAACGAGATGTGCCGTGTAGTAATTCATCCCCAAAAAGTCAGCTGATCCCCTGCTCGAAAATAAGAAATAAGGTGAAGTGAAACACGTCGAGGAACTCAATCAGTTCCTACCCCTCATGAAATTTCATTTTTGTACCAAATTTCAAAAATGCCAATAAATAAATTTAAAAAAAAATGAAATCTTGAATATCGGGGCCTTCTTTATAGTCGCCACATTCGCATTGTCAAGTTTGAAGGTTCACCCTCAGTTCTAATAAGAGTTTCATAAACAAAACCCCCTTCACGCCACATTGACTTCACCTTAAGTGTAACATTAACCACACTAAAGTACAAATAAATGATTTTAAATCCCCGAAAAATGTAATTCCTCGATCTCAACGACAATGGCACCATTACCTGATAGAATCGATCCACTCCTGAGAGAAGACCGGAAGTCTGGATTTAGTAAATCCTCCCTCCTCGCTTTTATTAGCGAGGATTTCTTTCATCAATTTGGGGTAGTCACCCTGTTCGGAAAATATCGGGCTCAGCTGCCAGCCATTTTTAAACTGATGAGCAATTTCCGCGGCATCTCGATCCTCCTCGGTTTTAGGATAGAATCCCCCGACGTTTATGACGATACCGACGTCGCCATTTTGGAGGGACCTGAACTCCTTGTCGTATATGTGGTATGCTTTTGCGTGGGCTTTCAGCATATTGTGCATGCAAAGGTAATCACCGATTCCGTTGAGCACTTTTCCGGGAGCTTGCGCGCCTTCGGCGTAACCACTTATGCAAACCGAATCCGGCTCGTTAAGGGTGGCGAATAATTTCACTTTTGGCCCAAATTCATGGAATACCACCCTGGCATAATCGCCGAACCAGTCTACCATCAATTCGTTCGTCCAGCCGCCCAGATCTTCCAGGATTTGGGGGTGGTCCCAGTGATAGATGGTGATAAGAGGCTCGATGCCTTTGGCTAGAAGCGCGTCTATTAATTTGTGATAATAGGCTATGCCATCTTGGCTGATCTTGTTCGCGAATCCAGTTGGAAGAATACGAGACCAGCTTAAGGAGAAACGGTAGGATTGAAACTGTGGAAAGAAAAAATGAGGATTCATTTGTTGACTTCCAGAAACTCGGTAGTGTCAGACGGTGGTCTACGTACTAACTGGATATATGATACATTGTGTATTACATTAATTTTATCTGTTTATCGTGCTAAATATTAATTATGTGTAAAAATGGTTTATACAAAAGTTGTAGACCGATTCAAAATGCAAATATTATTACCTACGACTTTTTCTCGTATGACTAACTGTATCTGAGAAAAGTGCGAAAAACCTGACATGGTTTTTCGAATTCTTCTCGGAAACAGTCGTACAAGAGAAAGTCCAAAATCCGTACAAAACAGTTTATCGTGTAAAGTATTAATTATGTGCAAAAATGGTTTATACAAAAGTTGTAGACCGATTCAAAATGCGCATATTATTACGTACGACTTTTTCTCATATGACTGACTATTTCTGAGAAAAATGCGAAAAACCTGACATTGTTTTTCGAATCTTCTCGGAAACAGTCGTACGAGAAAAAGTCTTAGGTAATAATATGCGCATTTTTTACAATCGATTTTTACAACCTGATATGCTCCCTCTTCCAGCTCTTAAAACGTAGAAGAAAGAGATTAA